ATCTTTCCTGGCGGGAAAGAAATCGCTCGCGCGCATCGCGTGGCGCGTTTTTCTTTTCTCTGCTCGGCGTTCTTCCTCGATGATTCCGTCAGATAGTACAGTATACAATAAAAAAACTGCAAATATAATAAGTCTGTCCAATCATCATCTGGAACATGCATCCTTTCAAAAAGCTATCTTCCGCCAAAAGTTTCCAAATTCCTTGCTACTCCGCTTTCTAGCTACGCCCTTCCGTGTAAAATACGTGCCGCCCTTGCTTCCACCTGATCTACATCAACTCCCAAGAGCGCAGCTGCGCCGGCGCCGGCGCCGGCACACAGCCAGCCATGGCCTTCGTGGGGTTTTGCCCTGGTTGAATTGATTCGGTGGGCATCTCCCTTTTTCCTTTGCGAAAATTAGCATCGGAAAGAGCCTTTCAGTAAATTATTCCATGTATTTGTGTTTGTGACCTGCAAAATAATATTCTCCAAATACATGTGGAACTTGGTTAATAGTAAATACATATGTGTTTAAGTTTGCTAATTTCTTCTTTTTGTCTCTTAATTAGCGGTCGGATTTGATCGATAAAGACCGCCAACAATGATCCTGTAAAGTTCAACCACTGTTTTAGGGTTTTTAGTGGCTAGATTTTCGGCGGTCTTTTCATCCTTGCAGCCCTGCTAGAAGGATATGATCACTCGATCTTCAATCATGTCGGGAATCGTATTGCAGATATTGCTGAACCGTCGAATAAAATCCTGAAGAGATTCATCGGGTCTCTGGATGCATGCGAACAGATCATCCTCTTGACCGGGACGGGTGTATGTTGCATGGAAGTTGGCTTCGAACATCTGGCACAGATGAGCCTAGGATTGAACGGTACCTTCGGGCAGGTTCATCAACCATGGCCTTGTTTAGATTGCAAAATTTTGCAATCTGGACACTGTAGCACGTTTCGTTTGTATTTGACAAACTTTGTCCGATCATGGACTAACTAGGCTCAAAAGATTCGTCTCGTGATTTACAACCAAACTGTGCAATTAGTTATTTTTTTTACCTACATTTAATGCTCCATGCATGCGTCCAAAAATTGATGTGATGGAGAAAGAGTGAAAAAACTTGGAATTTAGAGGTGATCTAAACAAGGCCCATGTTCGGACCGAGCCCTGCAGGACAGTCGGGAGGTGATTGGCTTTGACATAATCATCACCGTATGCTGCCTCGATGATCATAGAGTAGATGTTGATCCACTCCTTTGAGTTGGTGGTGCCATCATACTTCTCGATCGGGCCAGGTTTAAACTTACGAGGCCAAACAACCCTTCGTAGATTCGGGGCGAATGCGCGGTAGTCAGTTACCAAGACACAGGGATTGGTGTCGTAATGTTGAGCCCGATTTGCATCAAGCGTCGTTCGGGCATCTCGACCTCTTCGGTTCGCATCCAACTCGGGCCTGAGGTCTCGACCACCAGGCGGAGCATTATACCGGTTGTCCACTAATCGGTTAGATCCCTCAGGGCGTGGATTCCGACAGTGTGATTAGGATCTGGCCGATTTAGAGGGTGTGGCAGCAACGGCGGCACGTATTTTACAAGGAAGGGCGTAGCTAGGAAGCGGAAACAAGAAATCTGGAAACTTTTGGCGGAAGATAGCTTAGAAAGGATGCATGTACCAGATGATGATGCGACAGACTTATTATATTTGCAGTTTTCTATTGCTACCTGACGGAATCATCAATTATTATACTACCTGACGTAATCATCGAGGAAGAACGCTAAGTAGGCTTGTATGACTTGGTGATCTCCATCCCAGCAAGACTCAAATGATCCAATTACTTGGGGCGCCCTCCATGTGTAGCTTCATTCGCAAAGGTTGAACAGTCTCTGCAAGTAGCGGTGAGTTGCAATAGTTGTATACAGTGCTTTCGTAAGCCTAGAGTTTACCAGCTGAATTCCATGTATTCTTCCACGAGTGAGCAATGCGCTGCAGTGCTTTCCCTTTGGTCTATCTATGTATAGATTTCAAAGCAAAATGTATATGTAAAGAGCCATGAATTACCATGTTAATCGTTTTTATAACCATCCAATGGTCTAGGCAAACCAAGACGGTTCATATAAATAAAGGCCACTGTCCCACTTGCAAATAAATGTTACTACGATACAAGAATACTATACAAATAACTTAGGGCAAATAACTTAGGGCAGTCCCAATGGTGTATTGATGATGATTTCTATCCTCATTAAATGACTTGCCACGTTGGCAAAACGCTGATATGGCAACGTAATTAATGAAGAAAGAGAGCAAAAATCTTAGAAATGGTTTCCTCATAAAGAAATCAGGTCTTCTCTTGACCCAATACACCAAGAAACCATAAAATCGCCATTGGGAAGAAACCACCAGTTTCTAGGAGGCTCGTGCCGCACTTCCATTGGAGGAAGAAGATAGAGTTGGGAGAGAGAAAAAGAAAATAATTATTATTCATAGAAACCATGGGTTGAAAAGCAGTACTTTTTGGTGCGGTATCCTATGTTATAGAAATTACTAGTTTTTTCATTGGGACTGCCCTTAAAGATTTACCAAGCTATCTTAAATACTCGATCATTTACGAGATACTCCCTCCATACTAAAAAATGAAGTCGTTTTGGACAAGGCTTGGGTCAAACATTAGGAATATAAATCATGAATAACTTTTAAGTTGTTGAGTTTGGAAATATGAAAACCATATGTATAGATTTGTCTTGAAAAATACTTTTACAAAAATTTACATATATCACTTTTTGATAAATATCTTTATAAAAATAAGTAGTTAAAGTTATACTTTGAAGACCGTGTCGCTGTCCAAAACGATTTTATTTTTGAGTATGAGAGAGTATAAGGGAGAACCTTCATATAAAAGTATAAGGTCCACTAGCTAATGTCCCACTTGCTAATAAATGCTACAATACGTACAAGAATACCATACCAATAGCTTAGATTTCCAGGCAATCTTAAATACTCGATCATTAGTATGAGATACTCCCTCCGTATTAAAAAATAAAGTCATTTTGGACAGCGACATGGTCTTCAAAGTATTACTTTGACTCCTTGTTTTTATAAAAATATTTATCAAAAAGTGATATATGTATGTTTTTATGAAAATATTTTTCAAGACAAATCTATTTATATGGCTTTCACATTTCCAAACTCAACAACTTAAAAGTTATTCATGATTTATATTCTCAATATTTGACTCAAGCCTTGTCCAAAACGACTTTATTTTTTAGTACGGATGGAGTATTAGGGAGAACCTGAATGAAATCATTGAGGATGCTAACGCATGTGAGAATAGTAGATACATGAAGAATCATATACTCACAAAATATAAGTGAGTAAATAGAGGACAATGTCGTCGGTATGCGGTTAGCCCCAAATTCAGCGCATAAGGCTAGCCCCAAATTTATGCGATATATATACTGTTTATGTAGTTAACCGACCTTTCACGTCTTGGAAACAGTGGGATGAAATCAGCCACTGAGACTGGCCTTATACGCTGAATTTGGCGCTAACCGCATACTGACGACGTTGTCCTCTATTTACTCACTTATATTTTGTCGAGTATATGATTCTTCATGTATCTACTATTCTCACATGCGTTAGCATCCTCAATTATTTCATTCAGGTTCTCCTTTATACTCCCTCCGTACTAAAAAATAAAGTCGTTTTGGATAAGATTTGGGTCAAACATTCGAAATATAAATCACGAATAACTTTTAAGTTGTTGAGTTTGAAAATGTGAAAGCCATATAAATATATTTGTCTTAAAAAATATTTTCATAAAAATATACATATATCACTTTTTGATAAATATTTTTATAAAAACAAGGAGTCAAAGTAATACTTTGGAGACTGTATCGCTGTCTCATACTAATGATCGAGTACTTAAAATTGCCTGGAAATCTAAGTTATTGGTATGGTATTCTTGTACGTATTGTAGCATTTATTAGCAAGTGGGACATTAGCTAGTGGACCTTATACTTTTATATGAAGGTTCTCCCTTATACTATCTCCGTACTAAAAAAATAAAGTCATTTTGGACAAATGACACGGTCTCCAAAGCATAACTTTAACTACTTATTTTTATAAAGATATTTATCAAAAAGTGATATATGTAAATTTTTGTGAAAGTATTTTTCAAGGCAAATCTATACATATGGTTTTCACATTTCCAAACTCAACAACTTAAAAGTTATTCATGATTTATATTCTCAATGTTTGACCCAAACCTCGTCCAAAAACGACTTCATTTTTTAGTATGGAGAGAGTATATGGTAAATGATCGAGTATTTAAGATAGCTTGGTAAATCTTTAAGTTATTTGTATAGTATTCTTGTATCGTAGTAACGTTTATTTGCAAGTGGGACAGTGGCCTTTATTTATATGAACCGTCTTGGTTTGCCTAGACCATTGGATGGTCATTAAAACGATTAACATGGTAATTCATGGCTCTTTACATATACATTTTGCTTTGAAATCTATACATAGATAGACCAAAGGGAAAGCACTGCAGCGCATTGCTCACTCGTGGAAGAATACAAGGAATTCAACTGGTAAACTCTAGGCTTACGAAAGCACTGTATACAACTATTGCAACTCACCACTACTTGCAGAGACTGTTCAACCTTTGCGAATGAAGCTACACATGGAGGGCGCCCCAAGTAATTGGATCATTTGAGTCTTGCTGGGATGGAGATCACCAAGTCATACAAGTCTACTTAGCGTTCTTCCTCGATGATTACGTCAGGTAGTATAATAATTGATGATTCCGTCAGGTAGCAATAGAAAACTGCAAATATAATAAGTCTGTCGCATCATCATCTGGTACATGCATCCTTTCTAAGCTATCTTCCGCCAAAAGTTTCCAGATTTCTTGTTTCCGCTTCCTAGCTACGCCCTTCCTTGTAAAATATGTGCCGCCGTTGCTTCCACATGATCTAGATCTACTCCCAGGAGCGCAGCTGCGCCGGCGCGGGCACGCAGCCAGCCATGGCCATCAACGATGAGCAGAAGCCGCTGCACATCCTCTTCTTCCCGTTCCTCGCGCCGGGGCACCTAATCCCGATCGCCGACATGGCCGCGCTCTTCGCCGCCCGAGGCGTCAAGTGCACCATCCTCACCACCCCGGTGAACGCCCAAGTCATCCGCTCGGCGGTGGACCGCGCCAACGACGCCTCCCGCGGTACCGAGGGCGCCCTGGCCATCGACATCGCCGTCGTGCCGTTCCCCGACGTCGGGCTGCCCCCCGGCGTCGAGAGCGTCCCGGCCCTTAATTCCATGGACGACCGCGAAAAGTTCTTCCACGGGGTCCGGTTACTCCGCGAGCCGTTCGACCGGTTCTTAGCGGAGAATCGCCCCGACGCCGTCGTGTCCGACAGTTTCTTCGAGTGGGCCGCCGACGCCGCCGCAGAGCACGGCGTCCCGCGGATGGCGTTCCTCGGCAGCAGCTTGTTCTCGCGGACATGCATCGACAGTATGCTGCGCTACAACCCCGTGGAGGCCGCCCCCGATGACCCTGACGACGCTCGTGCTGCTTCCGGGGCTGCCGCACCGCGTCGAGCTGAGGCGCAGCCAGATGAAGGAGCCCAAGAAGCAGCCAGAGGACTGGGCCTTCCTCCAGCGCGTCAACGCCGCGGACCAGCGGAGCTACGGCGAGGTGTTCAACAGCTTCCACGAGCTGGAGCGAGACTCCTTGGAGCACTACACCACAACGCTCGGGCGCCGCGCGTGGCTCGTCGGGCCGGTCGCGCTCGCCAGCAAGGACGCGGCGACGAGGGGCGCCGGCAACGGGCCCTCGCCGGACACGGACGGCTGCCAGCAGTGGCTCGACACCAAGCCGGAGGGCTCGGTGGTGTACGTGTCCTTCGGCACGCTATCCCATTTCTTGCCGCCCGAGCTGCGCGAGCTGGCACGCGGCCTCGACATGTCCGGCAAGAACTTTGTCTGGGTCATCGGCGGCGGCGCGGACACCGAGGAGTCGGAATGGATGCCCGACGGGTTCGCGGAGCTGATGGCGGGCGGCGACCGCGGCTTCATCATCCGGGGTTGGGCGCCGCAGAGGCTGATCCTGGCCCACCCGGCAGTGGGTGGGTTCGTGACGCACTGCGGGTGGAACTCGACGCTGGAGGCCGTGAGCGCCGGCGTGCCTATGGTGACGTGGCCGCGCTACGCCGACCAGTTCTACAACGAGAAGCTGGTGGTGGAACTGCTCAAGGTCGGTATCGGCGTGGGCTCCACGGACTACGCGTCGAAGCTGGAGACCCGGCGCGTGATCGGCGGCGAGGTGATCGCGGAGGCCATCAGGAGAGTGATGGGCGACGGCGAGGACGCCGAGGCAATACGGGAGAAGGCCAAGGAGCTTGGGGAAAAGGCCAGGCGTGCGGTGGGCAACGGTGGGTCATCTTACGATGATGTCGGACGGTTAGTGGACGAGCTGATGGCTCGTAGGAGCTCCGTCAATGTCTGACTGGGTCATCGGTGAAAGCACGTTTGGAGTGCGTCGCCAACTTTAGGCCATAATAATAATAATAATATGAAACTCCACGTAGCTTCTACAATCCTCGCGTTGAGAGCAATCTGGTTACTGTTTTCTTACTATTCACCAATCGTATGCAGCCACGTGGACTCGTGCGTGTGTAGAATCCACGCGTTGAGAGCGATCTGGTTACTGTTTACTACTATTCACCAATCGTATGCAGCCACGTCGACTCGTGCGTGTGTAATCCTCGATTTGGTCTCGCTTCCTTTAATTGGGCGGGCCCTCCTGCTGACCCTCGCTCTCTCCGTCCGTCAAAGTAAAAAGAATTCCTCACCGGACTCCAGCTGCCGCCGTTTCCGTCCGTGCTTCTTCTTCTTCTTCTTCCTCTTCCTCTCCCCTACCGCGGGGCGGCGGCCGAGATGCGGCGTCCTTCTTTGACGGAGGTCTGCACGCATGGACCGCTTCAGCGCCTCTTCCTCTCCCCGGCGACGGCGGGCGGGCGCCAGCTTTTGCTAACGGTTATGCTGCCGGACCAGCCGAGGAGCGGCTTCCCACCCCGAGCTTGCAACCATGGTGAGCGATGCCACCCATTTGTTCCTCCCTACTGTTTAGCGCTCGCTCGCTTTCGTGCAGATCTGGACCTCCGACGCGCCGTTTTTGCTTGGCCGGCGTAGCTCCGCAGCTCTTTCTGTCCTTTGCTCTGTTCTTCAATTCCATATAACACGCTCAGGCGGATCTGCAGAATTATTTTGGGTCCTACGCACTATGAAGGTTGCCTCATGGTCTCCTATCCAACGACCTTCTGCAGTAGTCGCTTCGTACCCTGCGTATGTCTCCTTCGACCATGGCGACCTCCGTCCACAAGCACTCCGCCGCCACGACCTCGAGACCGCCACGAACCACGGCGCTTACAACAACAGCGAGCACGAACCGCCGCTTTGGCCACGCCCCTCCTCTCTGCGAGAACCCTCGCCATTTGGTATGTGCTCTCGAACAACCAAAGAGTCATGGAATTAGATAAGGATAATCAACGTGGAATGACTCAGTCATGTGAGGATTAGTTAGCATCCTTGGTGATACCAGCACTTGCAGTGGATTTTAATAGATTTCTTCCCAAAATTTATCCATGGAATGCTATTGTTTCCTTCTTTCTTTTCATTCAGCGACCAAGATTAGAATGGATTTTTCAAGGTGCTACAAACATGTCTCTTTTAGGATTGCTGCTCGCTTGCTCCTGGTCCTACTGTTCACCCAATGAGGCCTCCCGGTCCTCTCCAATAAGGTGACCTTATCTGATAGGCTATTATAACCTTATTGTTAGGTCAAACATTCATCTTAATTTGGAGATTTGTCAATAACCTCGGTCCAATAATATTTTGCTTCAGTAGGATCTGCAGAATGGAATGCGTGGCCTAAAATCAGGGCTCACTTTTTTCCATATTTTGCATCCTGTTTTTAGCAATAATTCATTATTATTGCCATTTTTTATGCAGCACGTTGCTATGGCTTGCTTTGTGTAAATAACTAATCTGCATTACTAATGGAGGATGCAGCGTGTGTACATGACCACAAAATCACATAAAGGAAAGATCAGGACTTAGGTTAGGTTCTCGCGTGTCATTTTGCATGGAAGGAATTAACAGCTTGATTTCTCCTTTCAGGTTTAATCGCAGAGAGGTCAGCACAAATCTCAGAGATGGGAATGCTGGCAAATGTAAATTCAGTTCTGACATTGAACTAAAAAATTTATGTTCAGGATGCATGACTTTTTTTTATCATGAACTTGTAGTTCGGTTTAGCCTTAGATTCTCAGGTTCCATCACCTAGATTGGCTTTATGAAGCCTGGATTGAACACTAAAACTGACTATATGTGTCATGTTCAAGCAATGTTATATGCCAATGGCGTTGCAGTTAAGGAAAACTCCATTTGAGGAGTGTCAGAACGATTTCATGTGAGTAGTTGCAGCACCATCTCTTCATGGTTGTATGGAGGGACCCTGATTTCAATGCCTTTGGTCTCAAGGTTCAAACATGGTGTCCCTGTTGGTCTGTGCATATTTTGAGTTCATACCAAACATTGCTAACCGATTCTTTTGCAGGACCCAATGGCCCAACGAATTGCTATGTTGATGCTGAGTTTTCTATATACTCCTTCATATGGTTAGGCCCTTTCACTTCTCAAGTTCGTGCTATGAATTTTAGTATTTTGTGTGTGTTAAGGTTGTGATAGAGTCCCAACTGCATGCGGTCCTAACAAATTGGTGGATGAACCAAGCGTGAAACATCAAAGCAAAAAATAAAAATAAAAATACTTAGGTTTGCACGAGGATTACATTGAAAAGTACGTTTCCATGCATAGGTCCATAATCCTATCACCATGTGTAAACTGATTTACATGACAACACCGGTACAATGTCTCATATAGTACATGAATTATATGCAAAACTTACTGCAACTTAGCTTCATCATGTCACCATGTTCATTTCAAGATTTTCGCGGTAATCTCATATTTTTAATATTGATCTATCCTTACGTATTGAGAAATGCTATGTGCCATTATTTTTATGGTGCAAAGTATGTTGTTTACTTGCTATTAATATTTTTAGGATTTACTGTATCCAACTATCTAACAATGTTGAAGGATATAATTTTTACAACCTTATAGGGTTTTCGGATGAATCATCTTTTACGAGACTATAACAAATACCCATGAGGCTACGGGCGGTCGTGGTCGTCACCACGGTACTAAGCTGAACAACACTTAGAACTGATGAAGATCACTACTTTTCGTCTTTGTCCTACAAGCATGTGTACTGCTTTTATTTTCCCTTCCCATTTTAGCTTTAGTCAGTGCTTCCGTGGAGGCTTCCAGTTGTTCAGTGTCCATAGCTAACAGACTTAGAGATTGCTGAATTCTATATATAATGATACTCCTGTTAGCGAGTAAAAACAATATACAAAGGAGCTGCTCATAGAGCACGCAGTTAAGCCCCAAGGGTGGGAGTTGGCCCGGTAGGGATCGATCCCTGATTCCTACAATGGCTTCCAAAGAAGGCTGGGTCAAGTGGTCCTTTCAAAAATAAAAGTAAAAACAATATATCTGATCAAGTTTGGTGATTTATCATTAATTCAAAAATCAATGGATATATGTTTGGTGCTAATTCTTCAACATTTTCTGCAACGAACAGGTTAAGGATCGATCTTACAGTTGGGAGGTATACATTTTGCATACTGATCAAACTACAGTACAATTTTTTTTTTAAAAAAAACTTACAGGATCTTAATTAAGTTAGATAAGTAGAAAGCGGGATGCAAATTGAAAGCAAATTTAACTGGAACATTTTTCTTCTTTTGTAATTTTGGTTCTTATAGAGTTTTATTGTACACAATATGCCAAGATAACTCTCCTCCTTTGGATGATAAATTGATTGATTTATTCGTCTTTGCTGAAAAGTGTCATGTGAAGGGCGGGCCTGGTGCAAGCGGTAGAGTCTTACCGCCTGTGACCAGAAGGTCCCGGGTTCGAGTCACGGTCTCCTCGCATTGCACAGGCAAGGGTAAGGCTTGCCACTAACACCCTTCCCCGGACTCCGCACAGAGCGGGAGCTCTTTGAACTGGGTATGCTGAAAAGTGTCATGTGAAGTTTGAACATGAATCATTGCCCTACTACTCATCATAAGGGGAAATAATTAACTACTCACAAAATTCTATTAAGAGTTGAGATACTTTTTGTTTGGGCAATATGAGCTCCCATGTAAGATATGCTCGGTACACAATAAGCAGATACGTATTTTAAACGAAAACAATAAGCACATACTTGATCTCCTCCATTAGGTAATAGATTAATTTATTATTATTTCCTAAGCTGTTTCTTGCAATAGTTTGATCAACCATGTTGATGATGAGAATTCCTCTGCTCTTATCATCAACCCTATACATACTAAAATTATTGCCAATGAGCTTGAGCTGTTCATCTGAACTTTGAATGACCAGGTGTACTTGAATATGCTGATGGAAAAAGAATAACCAAGAATATTTGGTTGTTTCAAAATTATGTTCTCAGGTGTACTGAACATGCTGATGGAAAAGATTATTGTGGAGAGAACTTTGGAAGAGCAAAAAGAGAATGCAATAGGCCAATAGTTGTGGTTCCATTCTTTCACTTTCTGAGTTGTACTTTTCTATACCTGTTTGGAATGTTCTTGTGTCACAACAAAATGACTACCTCTCCTTCCATAATGTTTATAACTGTTTTCCTTTCTCTAAAAGCACGTACATTTGTGTGGCAAATGTCGACTTAACAAATGCAAATTTCAGTTGATATATAGCAGCACTTCACTCTATTGTTTATATTTAAGTTAATGAATATCTTTGCTCTCTTGAACACTTTATGCTGCGTCTACCCGCCTCATATGCGCTTAAAGAATCCGGGCGGTGTGAGGTGCGCCACTTGACCTAGTAAACTTCATATAGCTCCTAGAATCCAGCGTTGAGAGCGATCTGGTTATTGTTTTCTTACTATTCACCAATCGTATGCAGCCACGTGGACTCGTGCGTGTGTAATCCTCGATTTGGTCTCGTTTGCGTTTAATTATGGGCCCTCTTGCTGACCCTCGCTCTCTCCGTCAGTCAAAGTAAAAAGAATTCCTCACCCGGACTCCAGCGTCGCCGTTCCGTCCGTGCTTCTTCTTCTTCTTCTTCTTCTTCCTCTCCCTACCGCGGTGGGCGGCCGGAGATCTGGCGTCCTTCTTTGACGGAGGTCTGCACGCATGGACCGCTTGGCGCCTCTTCCTCTCCGGCGGCGGCGGCGGCGGGCGGCCTTGCTAACGGTTGTGCATCGGACCAGCCGAGGAGCGGCTTCCCACCCCGAAGCTTGCAACCATGGTGAGCGATGCCACCCATATGTTCCTCCTCTCATGTTTTAGCGCCGCTTCGCTTCGTGTAGATCTGGACCGCCGACGCGCCGTTTTTGCTTGGCCGGCGTAG